GACATATACATGAGTTTAAAAGGGAGGACTAGTTAGTTATAAGTGACTCCAAACTTCAAACTTGAGATAATGATGGGGAATTTTTTCTATGTGAATGAAAGCAAAAAGATAATGAGTTTGATTTTAAAAATACTGGTTAGTGCCAGGTGCACTGGTGTGGTGGTACACACCTGTAATCACAGGTACTTGGGAGGCTGAGGCAGGAAGTTCACAATTGGGGGCTACCCTGAACAACTTATGGAGACCATGTTTCAAAATTTAAAAATGGAAAGGACTAGAAATGTAGCTCAGTGGGAGAACCTTTGCCTAGCATGGATGAAGCCCAGAGTTTAATCCCCAGTATCACAAAAACACTTAGTTCATGTGAGCTGCCAGTGGATATGTGGATGAGGACACTATGCTGTAGGATTGAGACTTGAATGTAAATTCTGACTGCTAGTCAGTATCTTTGCAATCTTGGTCAGGAAAGCAATCTCTTCCTGGTTCAATTTCTTCATGTGCAAATTTGTTTTAATAATTTTTCTCATTGGATATTCTAACAATAAAAATGTAGATTGAATTTAATGTAAATAATCTAGCATAGTGAATTGTTGGTACTTGAGTATCATTACCTGTCAGCATCAATGAACTGAACAGTTGGAAATATAGGATCACAGTTGTTGATAGGTAGCGGACCTGGTTAGATTTTGTCATCATATGCAGGAAATTGTTATTGGAAGTCTTGAAAGAAAAAAATTATTGTAAGGTGACAACATAAAATACTGAAAAGTATGGCTAACACATCCTAGAGCGGTGGTGGTGAACCTATGGCACGTGTGCCGCAGTGGCTGTTTGTTATCATTGAAAGCTCTGAAAGGTTCGCTACCACTGGTTTAGAGGAAACACCTACATTTACTGTGTAGGAGGAAGAAAAGAAGATATAGGACAAATAGGTAGGGACATAGCAGGACCACATTCCTTTACTCAAGCTAATCTGTTACTATCTATTTGTTTGTGCTTAGCCACTCTGTATGTTAGAGTTGCAGTATGTTGTTGATTTTGGAAGTTATCTAACCATTTGTCCTGGGTAAACATTTCTTTTGACATTGAGCTCATGATTTTACAAGTCACCCAATTTCTGGTTTTGGATATCTTGATTTATTAGAATGTTTATCTTCATATATATTCATAACATAGTACATCTTTAGATTTTGTGCTTTATTTGGTTCCCTCCTATATTAGTGGCTTATAATCTTATATTAGTAACCCAATATCCCCATCTGCTTTCCCTAAAAGCTCCTTTTTCTCTTATACTACAGAATGGAAAGAATACAATAATTTTTCATGTTACTACTAAACTATACATGATTTCTAATTCAAGTTTATCACACTTGATATTTTAAAACTAAACCCAAAAATTTAAACCAGAAGATATGAAAACTAATATTGAAAACTGATTGTTATATATTTACATTTTATATATTTTGACATCTGTGAAGTATTACATTTAGCTCCTAGCATGGGGGCTTCCAACCTTTTTGATGTTGTAGCATGCAGTATGTGCTTCTCTTATTTTATCACCACGTTCTGTCAACTATAAGAGTCCCAATGACAAAGGGTGACGAATTAGCTTTAAGAATTCATTGCACATCATTATATGGCTTAAATTATGGCATTATGTCACAGAACCAGAGGCAGGAATTATTTTTCTTAAAGCTCTAGAATACTGCATGATATCTGCCATAAAACGAGGATAATTGGTAAGAATTATTTGAAGTAGAAAATATAGAAAATAATTTAGAAATGATCCAAATTAAGTTTGAGAAAGGACTATTCAAATGAGAAAACCATGAGCTCTGATTGCTCTTTGTGTGTGTGCAGTACTCAAACAGGACTGATGTAGCTAAAACCTACGAATGTTATAGGTTGAGAATGACTCAGCAGGCTTTATTACCATTTCGTAATTTCTTAGTGAAACTGAATTACTGCTTAAGTGAAGTATCTATTAAAATCATTCGTTGAATTAAAAGTCAGAAGATAATGTAGTTCTAAACTTATTGAGAACACCTGATTAATAAATTTGTATTCCTTTTTTGATAACTACCTAAAAACATGTACAGAACAGATTTGATTTTCTCTTCACCATCTTTTTATGTTTTAAATAGGGCTACCTTTCTGATTCTGTGCCTTTTGTAGAAAATTTCTATCTATTACACACGTCTTCGCTAGTTAATTCATAAAATTCATGGTATTCTAATTTAAATATTACTATTCATAAACTATATTCATGAATTTGGTTTTTATTGTTTATAAAAGTAACTCGTGCTTATTGGCAATAGTTCAAAAAATGACAGATATAGTATAGATCATAGTCTGTATCCTGCTTTACAATAAGCATCATTAAGGGTGTTGTACAACTTTTTAAGTTTTCAGAGAGAGAGAGAGAGAGAGAGAACTTCGTTCCATACAGTTATTTTTACATCCCTGAGTAGTGGGCATTTATATAATGCATAACTTTTAGTTGTCTTAAACAATACTGTGACATACATTGCACAATTATCTTTGTGGTTCTCCAGTTATTTCTCCATGGTAGTAGAAGTAGAATTTTGGACTCAAAGATATTTACCATAGAAAAAATCCTATTTTAAAAAATTACTCAGAAAACTATGTCAAAGTGCAAAAGAAGAGGATGAACCAAATTGCACTGAGCATTTCATAGAAAACACCATCAGGCCTTACAAACTTCACTTAGTCACCACAATCATATTAGAGAATAAAATGAAAAAAAATAGATGTGTAATTTACTGTTAGAATAGATATGCTTGAAGAAATATATGGCTGTTACTTTGGAATAGCTTTACATTTTCATACACACACACACACACACACACACACACAGAATGAGGAGCATGGGAAAGGTTTATTGATGCTTTCATCCTTGCTTTAGTATACTCAGAATTATTTGAATAAAATAATAAAGTAGCTATCATTACATTCTTAATTTATTAATAAACTCTTTGCATAAACAACACTTATTTTGCAGTACTGGGAATTGCTCCCAGGACCTTCACACCTCCCCAACCTTTTTTCTTTTTATTTTGAGCTACACTCTTCTTGTGTCCCTAAGTTTCCCATGTTTGGCTTGAACTTCTGATGTTCTTGGCTTAGCATCCCAGAGTGGTATGTTTAAGAGGCATGTGCCACCATGACCAGATGAACAAATTTCCTCCATTTGACTCAAAATTTGCTCTTATTCTTTTAAGAAAACAAAGTGAATACTTGGATTCGAACCTATATTACTTTAGCTTCTAGCTTGCAGAAATGATTGTAAGAAATGATTGTAGGAACATCAAAATTAATATAATATACATTTAGGACACATAATCCACTTGCATAAAATAAGAAACATTTGACCAGTTCCATTACTCTAATTGTTCTACATTAATACGTCTTTTTTAAAAACTAGCAGCATCTTATTAAGATTAGCCAGGTATTTTAATGATGATTTTGATTCATATCTGAGATCCCGAGGTCTTCATCATTATAACATCTTGTTGCTTTTTTGTCCTGACTCCTCTTCACTGTCACTCAATTCAGCTGTGGTTGAGGTCATAAATGCTTATTAAGTATCCCAAAATATGTATTCTGTTATACTACAGTGACTGCATTCCACCTTACTTCTTCTTAGTCTCTAGGAGTCTTAGCTTCTTTTGACGGAAGTTCTCATTCTCTCCAGCTTGAATAATGTTTTTCCAGGCAAAAACATGATGAGCAGCATATAAAAGACATCCATTCTCTTAACATTGGGTTCCTAAGAAGAAGATAGAGTGTTAGATCACTTGCTTGGTCCTGTTTTCCGTCTAGGATAAATTTTGACCCACTGTACTTATGTAAGACAACCTAGAATATTATACTCCATTAGAGTTGAGATAAAGGTTCCTCTCCATTCTAAATGTGAAGTGTACTTTTAAAAACACAATAATTAGAATAGTAAGTACATTCATAAGTTTCTTTGAAGCGTAGTTCTAGGATTTTTTTTTTTTTTTTTTTTTTTTTTTTTTTTTTTTTTTTGGTACTGGGAGCTGAACTCGTGACCTTGCACTTGCTAGTCAGGCCTTTAAGCCACTGAGCTATATGCCCAGCCCATCGGATTTCATCTACCTAATGATGCATCACTAGTCCACTTAAAAAGCAAACTAAAAAAAATTATTCCATGTTCAAAAATTTAAAAGGATGATAAATTAAGTAATTTCACACGAGTAACTATTGAGTCATATTTCAAAACATTTCTCAAGAAATTTCTTTAACTATACAATATATTTTGAGGTAATATTCAAATACAATGGCTTCACCAAATTTATCACATTGTATGTTAAGTTTATAGGGTTGTTTGGAGTACACTTTCAGTAGCTGTTGCTTTGGAACGGCATTACCTTGTCATTTTTTATTCTGTCTTTCTAGCATGAAAAAGGTTTATCTTATTGATGCCTTTATCCTTGCATCAGAATGTTGCCTTGGTGTGTCAGTACCAGCTATTGGTAGTAAAATGTCAGTTTATTTTAGACACATGTAACCATGTATCTCTAAAAGATGGTGATGAGAAAGCATGTGGTGTAGTTTATAGGCTCAGAACATTGCCAAATCTTCATTTCCTGGCATGTGGATTTTTCCGTTGTACTTGTGAACAGAGTTTGGCTCTAGATCTGTCAGCTGAGGATCATTAATGGTGACATAACTTCTTGATATTCTAAATTACTCCAATGGCAGGATATCGTTTCATTCTCTGCTTTATTAACATGGTAAATGTCCATTATGTTGTCTCATGATTACATGGACTCTAATGCAATAACATGGTTAATCAGTTCAAAGATAATTTCTTTCTTGAGTATATATCTCCTGAAATTGATAGGATGATACACCAATTATGTGATTTTTTTACTAATCTTATTATAAAGGGGGAAAACATTAAATCTTTGAATACTGTACCTCAATTTTATTGTAATGATTTTGCTGGTTACCAGGTGGGGTGGCAGTTGAAAAATTTGGTGAATGCACTACGAGAGGACCCGAGTGGTGTTATCTTAACTTTGAAAAAGCGACCTCAGAGCATGCTTACCTCAGCACCAGCTTTACTGAAAAATATGAGATGGAAGCCCCTTGCTCTGCAGGTAATGAAGCTTAATCATAAGTCATACACCATCATTTTAGCCATAGATTATCTCAGTAATGCTTCTTTATTGTGCCTCATCTCAGCAGCATATGGATTAATCTTGTATGCTTTTGAAAATTTGTTTGTGAAATGATCTCTTCACAGCTTATCCTAATAGGCTTAATTGTGATGAAATCTGAGAGTAAAACCCAAACAATAAAGAATTCTGCCTTAATTTGAAAACACGTGAAGCATAATTACAAAAAGCTAAAAGTTATTTCAACCCAAAATATGGAGAAAAAGGAAAGTAAGAGGTTTCATTTTGTGTACAATTTTCAGTTTTATAGTTATGATGGCATACACATCTGGAAAAAACTACATGATAGTTCATATACTTCTTTTAAATCAGGTCATAAAATAGTAATACTGGTTTATAAACATTGAGAAAAGGAAATTTTAAATTAGGAATTTGAATTTACCCAGTACACATCCCTTAACTGATCATTTTTTACTTTCCATGCTGTAGGAGTGGCAAAAGTTATTTTATTCATATATTTGCATATGTCCTCAGCATGAAATATGACTCTAAAATATTATTTTGGATGTTGATAAATTATATTCATTAAAGGTTATCTAGGAAGTTAAAAGATACTCTGATTGGAAAAAAACAGGAAATAATGTATTTCCATTTTGTTTAGGATATAATCTTTAAGAATATCGTAATTTTTTCCTTCACAAAACCTATATTTTTAGACTAAGAAACTTTTACCTTTCCTCAGAAATGAAATTATAAAAAACTTAAATTGCCCATTAAACTTAGAACACTGCCCATTGTTTAGATTACAAAGTAGTATATATCAAAGGGCTTTGCTGTCAGTGATGTGTAAATTGTTACTAAGCTATTTTAATGTCTTCTACCATTCATAGACTACTTTCCCAAGTAAGTATTTTCTCCATTACACAGGAATAGCCTCATGGTTTCTGACAGTTTTTCATAATTAAAACTTTACTACTTATTGGCCTCCAAGTTGGCATTTTACTTAAATTATATAAAAAGATATAAAATGTATTATTAACATTAACATCTTTAAATCTTTGTGACTTTTCAAATGAACAAATGTAAAACTGTATTGATATGTTCAAATATATCTCACTTACATTGTATGTTTGTTATCAAAGATAGCTAATGGTTATTAAAGTTCAGAGGTCAGTATTTGCCTTATTCACCCATAGATGAGCAGATCAGACTTTCACGTCACATCATTTCTTTTCTTACTGCATTATAAATGTAGTTTTGGTCCACTCTGGAGTTTTCTATTTACATGTCTTCCTCATCAAAGTATGAAGGGATACGAATCCTGACAAAGAGGCACACACTTTCAGCCACTGGGTGTTCTGTATGTGTAATTAAATTTAACAACTTTTCTCTAGCCCCTGAACACCACAAAGACCATAGTTTCTTACTGATCCATATACTCTGTTTGAGGGAATATCTCTAGCAGATTGTTCGCCACAAGCACCAACTAACATAGAGGTAATAGCAGTACAATTAAGAATCTTCTTATGTAAAGTGCTGAAATAAGTGAAAAACCAATATTGTTCATGTTATACATATTTGTGGTATATATATTCAAGACTAAAGAACAAATACTTTAATTTTTAAATTACTTCATACCATTCTTTACCCTGTAATTATAATTACAATAAATTTTTAGGTTACTATTTGTAAGTTCATTCCTAAATGCCAAGGAATATGCCATATGAAATCACTAATAATATTTATTCCTTATTGCTTATTCAGCTGTACTTGTAAATTTACTTTTGCACAGTGCTATGATCTGAAAAAGAAAATCAGAATTTACACAATGCTTATATATGTATCAACATTTTTATAAATTTGTTATTTCAACTGAATTTCACTCAACTAAAATGTATGGGCCAAGGTCAACCATGTATAGATGATAAGCAGTGATATTAGGGAGAAAAAAATTGCTTTTAGCATCTTCAAAAATTTTTTCCCTGGTTGATTTTGTGTGTGATACTGAGGATTAAACGCAGAGCCTTCACTCTGAGCTACTTCCATAACCCTTTTTATTCTCTTTGAGATAATTCTCACTAACTTGTTAAGTTATCCAACCTGGGCTCAAATTGCAATCCTCCCTCAATTTCCCAAAGTGCTGGGATTATAGGCATGCCCCACCATGCCTGGCTACTTGTTGATATTTTACAGATCAGAAGCAATAATATTAATGTTAATTAAATACTTCCTAGTGGTGCTAAAATAGGATCTTAGGAGTAAGGGCAGTGAATAAGTCCATCACCACCACCACCAAAGGTCCGAGCAACCTATTTTGAGAACTAGAAATTGTATCATTATAGAGTTCTTTCTTGATCATAAGGTTTTGGCCCATCGTAAAATGCAGACATCTGGAAACATAATGGAATTCCTCGGTCGGAACTTTTGTACAATACAGTATAGATTTTCTTATAACCAAAGATGGACAAAACTTCATGGTACCAGGATACTGAGGTTGAAAGCGGGTGCCTCCAAAAGAAAAAAGTCAATGAAATGGTGGGAGAAGTTCTTGAAGGCAGTTGTGGATTCTTCCTGAATTTATCTGAGGTTACATATTTTTCTAGCGTGTAAGAAATAACCTTGGATGTAAAACACAAGTACAAGGTAGTAACAAGTCTCTATATAGATACTAGTACCATTCTTACTGTATTCTTGTTTCTGATATGTGTTCAAACAATTTAGAAGCAAAATGCCCACTAACTCACCCAAACATAAGTATTTAGCATTCAAACTTGAAGAATTATACATATTTTCCCCCATAGAGCAGACCATTATTCTACTAGGAATTATTTAGATTCTACAAAAAGAAGGTGTCATTTACTTAACTCAGTATACTTATTTCATCTTTTCCTAATACTGTACCAAAGTTATCTATTAGCATTGTCAGATAAAATATAGCATAGTTAGTGTTGCATGAAGATAGACACTAATACATCATCTTTTTTAGATGAAACTTTGTCTCACGGAACAATAATGATTTTTTGCATGCTAATAAGAAAATGAGTTTATCTACACAAATAAAACATAATGTTAGCTATCCTACAGTAAAATATTGTCAAATAATACCACATGTTAATTAAAATAGTTTTATTTCTAAAATGTTTAAAAGGATGGTGACTTCTAACATGGACTAATATGCTGTTCATATGAATTAACAATGATCAATTTTGATTTGCATTTTCTTTTGAAATTCACTGGTATAATTACAGTCAAAGAAACAAAAGCATACAATTCAACTTCATGCTCACAGAGCAATTTCATCAGTACATTTCATGAAATTTGGCAGTTCTTTTGATAAATTCCTAATTTCTCAAAATCTTTTGTGGTAGAACTAAAGGACTTAATCCCTCGGTCAAATACTGTAAGAAGATTTAATTATATCTGAAAGATTGCATTCTGTTGTCTTTTGTACACTTTTATAAATAGCAAAGATGTTTTGTCTGAGATAGAATTTTTTATTCTAAGAAGGCAAACCAGGGATTCCTTGCTTTCTGAGAGCTGTTTTTCAAAACATCCCCTTAGTGACCCTGTCTACTAATTTCCCGGATCTAGGTAAGCATGGTGATTGCTGATGGTCAAGTTCTTCTAAATCAATGAAAAAAAAATCCTTTAATAAACTTCAAGGTATACTTTCACATGTTTATGGTTTTAAATTAGTATGCATAGGTTACAAGCATGAATGGTTACAAGCGTAATATCGTTTTCGTCTTATAAGAGATGTATGGAAGAATTAGCTAAATACTACAAAGAAAGTTCCATAAAATCATCACTGAGAATCAGTAATATTTAAAAATAATCTAAACACCAAGCTTTTTGGGTGTAGAAAGCATCTCATAAATAATCACTAAAACCAGTACTGGAAGTCAACAAACTAATTTAGATATTATTCAAGAGGTTTTTATATAAAATAATATTAAGCTGTATGGTTAGAAGTACATTCCTGAACTATATTTTAATTTATAAATTTCTTATATTAATGTTCTAGCTGAATGATTTTGTGTTTTTCCATTTAAATTTTGTTTTCTAATATCACCTTGAAGCCATTTTTATAGGATATTTAAACAATTTTGAGGAGAAAAAATAGAAATAAAAGTCATAACAATTAATTTTGTCTATGGCCTGGTATATCAAGGAGTATTCTGATTACATTAGGTTTTCAGTACATACAGATGTGGCTGTTTTGGATCATTCTGTAGAAGTCAAAACAAAGAAGTAGCAATAAAATATTATTTTTAGTATCCAAGTTACAAATTAGTGTGACTGAAAAAACTATTAGTGACAGAAAGTTTATACCTTCAGAGATTTCTGTTTTAAAAGCATGTTTTTAAAATGACAGGAATTGATATTAAGTATGACAGTTTAGGAGGAAATTTTAACTAAAAATGTAATTGTACTTATTGGGAAACAGCAACAAATTTATGTTTTGCATGCTTATATTAGTAAGTGTATGCAAGCAGTTGTCTTATCAAACAGCTCACCAATGTTTAGCAGATCAATTAAAGGATCTAAATCATATTTGTGCTTTTGAGCCAAATGCTTTCAGACTGTCAACACCGGCCATAAATAATCACCCATAATGCAAAAATCAGTCATTTTTAGTTAATATCCCAAAATTATATTTACTATAACTTGAAAATAAAAGTTTGGTTTTTATATTGCAGTTTAATTGTGCCCATAAGATTGAACAGCACAAAATTAAATACACTATTATTAGCCTCAATACAATGTGCAAAAGTTAATGACTTGGTGGAAAAAGACATTTTGTAGTGTGGCTCTGAAGTTTGTATTAGTTACACATTGTGTAAGTACATACATATTTTATGCCCATATATCTGTATTTTTAACCTAGGCATATATGGTTTTCTGACTAAATTCATGATTGGGAAAAATATCTATTTTCTTGGTAGTCTGGTCAGAAAAGAAAAATTGTATGCTTATAAAAGAATACTGAAACCTTTTGTATTGATAAATTGGGATTCTAGAAGAAGCTGTGAAACAAAGTGGGAAAATTTTAAATACATACATTGCCCTTGCTTAAGTTCTTTTCAAATAATTTCCTACTTAAGAAAAGCTTGGCCAGGAAAACGTGTTCTGTAATTTTCCAAATTGGATCTGACATTTCTTACATAGTAAAGAAACTTACAAGACTGTATGCAAACTAACTTCCCAAACTCCAGAACACATTTTCTTTGAAGCATTTGTTTACATGATTTTAGAAAGAATTGTTAACATAAAACAATATTCTGATGCTAGTATTAGGAATTATAATAACAGTGTGTCTGCACTGAGTAAGGACTTGTATGAATGTTCTGTGGTAGAATATTGGGATATTTTGATCTGTTTGAGTTTGTGCTTATTCCAAAGAGGGAATATATAAATGACCAAGTTTTATATTGGATATAATCATTTGCATTTCAGTAGTTTCCCCCTGGAAGCGAAAAGCAAGCTCTGTATGATCTTCGCATTAGTAAATTTTAGAACTAACTATATAATGCAGTATTTTGATCTTTAAGGTTGGGGCTGGCTGTCTTTGTCCTTGGGTTTCATTCAAGACTTTTATAGTTCTGTCAAAACTCGGTCACTTACTAACCACAGGACAAAACTAAGTTAGGATATGCTTGCCAAGCAATGTGAAAATGTAAAATACTTCCAGTAAAACTTTAACATCAAATGTAGTTTCTTAAGTGTAGAAGTTCTTTGTTCATAGTCTTTAAGAGCATAGAAGTTTCACAGGTACATCAGTACATTCCAGATGTGGTCAGTTACCTTATAGATGTTTGAATGGGGATGGGGAGCTGAACCATGAGCTTTCAAGTGAGATTTTATTTTACAAAAGCTAAAATTTTTATTTTACATCAATCAGAATTTTCCAATGATGTTTAAACTGGATAAGTAGGATATTATTGCTCACATTAATATGATTCAGAGGAAGATTTGTGCAATTCCATTTTTTAGGATACAAATTTATTTATATAGTTTAAGCTGACACTATGAAAAATGTATCTGTAAATTTTATCTAGACTTCTGAGTTCTACTGACAGTAGTAAGTTATCCCTAATTGACCTTCAGTTATAAATGTATATGTGAAGAAATGTATATGATAATTTTATTTAGAAATTGGATATTTATAGAGATAAATGCCATTGCCCCTGGAAATCTGTCAGACTTATTTTATAGTAGTAACAGTGTATATGTAACTATGTCTTCTCTGTTGGAACCTCATTGAATATGTGGAAAGAGAATTTTGTGCCCACCTAGAAATGCAAAATATAAATGTTATAAATCAAGTCCTTCCAGAAAAAAACTCCTTTGTATGGGATTCTAAGTAGATCTACATCATACTTGATTTATACCATGCTGGATCAAGTTATACTGAGGCTTTATGCTTACTTAAATAATAAGATGCAATCCTACAGTAATACCTTTGAACTTTATCCATAAGTGCTGATAGTTTATAATTCCTTTCCTTATAAATTTAGCCAATATAAGAGATCAGAATTGTAAAAAAAAAATACTTGTTTCTTAAATTGTAAATGCTTAATGATAGAATATCAAATTCTTTTCATATGCTATATTAGGAACAAGTGATTGAAAGTAAATATTTGTTAGGATAAGGGAAACTATCTTTTGCATTATTATTCTCTCATTTAAAGTTTTAACTAAGGAATATGCCTATTAAAATTTGAATCAAATACTGAGAACTCAGCATTTTTAGTTGATAGAAGCTAAATTCATTATTTTCTGTATATTTTCACAAAATAGTTATTGATAAGAGTATTTTAATGTCACTTGTTATGAATTTCTCACTGATAACATCAGCTAATTGCATCATTTTTTCTGTGCATTAGTCAAATTTTGTTTTTTCAAAGTTCTTTGATGCCGTCTTCATTCTTTTAGTCATTTGATTTTGTACTATTTTAATTCTTGTCCAAAGTTTAAGAAATAAAGAGATAATTTTATTCACTGAGACCTCCTTTTGTGTTAAGTATCTGTTTTCATTTTTACATGAAGCTTCTATTTTACCATACTTTATTTTTCTATTTCTGAATATCTAAGTTGGTTTTTGAAATATGATACTTAAAAAAATGTTCATTTCTGGTATTAATTAGCTTGACATTGTAGCACAATTAGTACACTGAAATATACTGAATGTATCGAGCATTTACCATGAGCTTTACTCTGTAGAAAGTGTTATGAATAGCCAGATAATATCCACATGATAAACCAGATGAAATATTTTCTATGATTTGAAAAAATATTTTCTATGACTAATTCCTCTTTAATCTGTAAGAAGAAATTTTTTCAACCAGTACAACTAATCAGACTTTCTTGATGTAATCAAAGCTGCTACCTGTTTTAAAACTTTAACACTTTTTCTCTCTATGCATTTGTCAATTTAACTTAGCATATTAATGCTTTCACTAACAAAACTTATCACTGCGAATAGAAAGCTAGAGTTATAGCGATGTGAGGGAAAACATGTGACTAATATCTAAAATTCCTAGAAACAGAAAGGTACAAGTACCCTTGGTAGACAGTCCTGGTAATAGTTCAGGCAATCTAAAATATTCTCCTAGTCTGTACCTCATACTTAAAGCATATGTAGTGTACCTGTAATGACTGACTATTGTTACTTTTTTCCTTCTTTCCTTTATATTTGGGAGAGAGAAGATAAGAAATAAACAAGAAAAATAATCTTTAGTTCTATTTATGACAAAAGTAAAAAAAAAAGTCCCCAAACTAGAAATACTAAAATAGAGGGAAAACAATAAAAATTAAGTTGGATTATTTTGTAAAACTTATGTTTTTAGACTGGTTTTAAATTCAGTTGATATATTAGGATAGTATGAGTAATATGTAAAAAGCATACTGAATCTTAGTTTTTCTCTCACAGTGCATTGATTTAAGAGTATTAGAAATTATCATGTAATGAATTTTTCTTTAGTACATTTCTATTATAAATTTTGGTTTGACTCTTTGTTCAGTGTCACCTGTATTTAGAGACAAGTTGTCCTGACAGGAAGACAACTAACTATAAGTAGTAAAATGCCAGTGACTATTAAAAAATCATTGAATCTATCTTTAAAATATCTGTAGTAGAGGCATGAAATAATTTTCTTGGGCTTCATGGTGGTTGTCAGTACAAGTGGTTCCTCTGAATACCTATATAATTTCAGAATTTCCCATTGCCAAGTTTTTTCTAAAGGACAGGCCTAGTTTAACTGGACACTATTCCAACAATCAATATAATTAAACATATTAGACTGCACACTTTTATAATATCTACAATTTTCAAATAGCAAATCCTCTATTAACATTATACAAGTTAAAATAATGTAAAGTTCCAAATACATTATCATTCCTTTTTCCCTTCTCTCTTGGTCTTTAATTTCTATCTCACATAGATTGAAACTTAACGGTAATTTGGGCAGGATGTGTAATTTTAAGCTATTAAAATGAGCCGTGTAATAAGGAAGGTCAAAATTGTGAACTGAGTTCTAAACTGTGTAGCCTATCCCAGTGACATACATTGTACTTTCCATTGTATTTATGCTGGACATTTTGAAAAAATTTTGTCTAAATGTACCAAATTATTGTCACAATATAAAATAGTTGTACAGTGCCATTGAGTGTCCAACTATGCGTGCTAAAGTAATAGAACTGTGGGTCTAACTAGACATGGTAAAAGTGTTTTCATTCTAAAATGGCAACATCTTGTCATGTGAAGATACAGCTCATTTTGTGATCATTATTTTTGTTTAAGATCACAGAGTCTTATTTTAATATGTCAATTGTATATGTAGCTAATCAGTAAGATGTATAAGTTAAGCATTAAAAGTTTGTGAATTTTAGTTTGACTTTAGGGTAATATCTTGAACTACAAGATTATTTTCAAATGCTGTGAAACTTGGAATTGGAAGTGCTCTTAAGTTAAGCCATTCTGATGTACTGCTTAATTCAGTAAATGCAGTATACTCAAACATCTTCCTAGCATGAAAATGAGATCTACAGTTATGCAACTAAAAATTATTTTAAATGGTTGATAAATGTGTGTGCCTGTGAAAGGTAAAATGCTTATCACATTGGTCACCATACCTCTGAAGATGTACCATAAGATGGCTTTGAGGAGACAGCTACCTAAATTCTTATTGACAGAGGAAAAGTATATTTTCCTACAAAATATGCTCTTATTGACCTTTCATACTCTGTTTTTGTTACCTTTCCTGAGAATCATTTTAGTAACTAGGATTATGGTTTGTCCTTTTGGAAAGAAGATTTGGAATAGTTTTCTCATATATTGATCAGGATGTAAGTGAACTAATCCATTTGAGTTACTCGTTATTATCTTTCTTTCAAAAAATGGAATTCTGGCAATTTAAGTTTCTAACTGTGATATAAGTATTTCCATTAAAAACACTGCATGGTATTTTTTTTTTTACTTTATAAAAAACTTCTAGGTGGTTACACCATAGAAAAAGGTGAGTTTGGAACCACAGGGGAACTTTTAAAATATTATTTGCTTTTGGAGATTCAAGGAAGTATCCATGTGCCAAATAACATCCTTCTTGATTTCAGCCAAGTTCAAAAACTTTGGAGAAATAGATTATTTTAAAATGATAACAATATGTCATTGTTGTTGTTGTTTTGTGTTGTTTGTGTGCGTATGTATTTTCTTTTTCATTTTAACCAGCCTCTTATACCTAGAAGTCCCACAAGCAGCGTTGCCACGCCTTCCAGCACCATCAGTACCCCCACCAAAAGAGACAGTTCTGCCCTGCAGGATCTCTACATTCCTCCTCCGCCTGCAGAACCATATATTCCCAGGTATAAAACTAACCGTCGTGTGGTGCTAGGAAGCTACTATCTAAAGACTAACCCAGTACCGTATATTTTGAAGTCAATTCTTGACGAGCACCTTGAATATTTTCTCAGTTGAGCATTCTGAACTCATTCTGAAAAATCATTCCCATTATAACAAAGGCAGTTTGGTCAATAATAATTACAAAAACTACAGTAATTTGTATGAATTACGTACTATGCCTTCAGTATCCTGCACTTATTTAATGGGAAAGTAATGTTAAATAGCGATCAGGATTGTTTCAGTAAGTAAAGAGTAAGTGAAACTCATTGGCTAAGAAGCCTTAGGAAATCTCAGGTTACATGGAAGCATCTCATTTAATATTTTTTAAGAAGAAATATATGGCAACTTGTACGCTTTCTTAAATGCAGGTGATGAGAAAGACCTTTTTATGGGGAGAAGGAAGAGGGAAAGTATCCCCTGCCGAAATACTTGTGCTTAGAGTTTTCACGTCCTCTGTCCATTAATAGTTTCCTCAGGAAATTAGACTTTACAATAGAATGAATTGCCTTTAAAATCTGTTTTCTAGATTTCTTGTGGTTTAATTTCTATTTCATTTCCAAATTCATATTAGAAATTCCTGGCAGGTGTGAAAGAATACAGCTTTTGCAATAATACATTCTTTCCATCAGCATTCTGATATTTAGCCTTATGGACACAAAAATTATGGAATAGGGCCAGAATTAAAAGGGGATAATAAATCCCAGTCACAAACAAATTGATTCTTTATTCAGTGGTGTTCAAAATCAGTAAAGTTTTTTATTTTCAAGCCGTATTTAATATTAAATTTATTTAGCACATAAAAATTTCAATTTAACTTTTATTATTTTTAATTTACCTATTGTTCAATACTATCCTACTAAATATGGTGATACTGACATTATATGACATCACTCCTATATGGAAGTATGACATCTACAAATACTATGTTATCAAATAGTAATAACTATATTCAATTTTATATATTAATTTTTTGTGAAAATCAAATGTAGCTGGGAGTACATAGATTATGAGATACTTCATGGCATTAAGCTGCCATTTCATAATACGTCTAATACATAATTGTCTGTCTTATGTTCAGTTTACAATCAGTACAAATTCATCCAATATTCTACTTTAAGGTTGTGTTTTAATTCTGTTAAGACAGTCTATTACTTTCTGATTACTCTTGAATGATAAGCAATGAAAACATGTTACAAATAAGAATCAAATCTCTTTTGGTGTGTTTTCGTTTAATTGGAAACATTTTCCTTTCAGTGCAAATGGTTAAGAAGCTTTATTCTTTAGAGAGCTACATATACAAATAAACATCAAAAGATTATTTTTATCAAATTTCTGCAATTTTTAAGTAGTATTTCCTTTTAGGGGGTTTGAGGAGGAAGCTGTTATAGAGAAAATGTTCCCTGAACAAAATGAACTTAAAATACACCTTAGAGCAGTAGTAGCAAACCGTGATGCAAGGTTCAGCCAGATATTTGTTATTGAAAGGTCTAAAAGGTTCACCATCACTGCCTTAGAGGGACAGAAGAATAAAAGGAGCCAGTCCTGTCCTCTGAATATGAAGATATTATTAAGGAAATATGTTGAAATCAGTCAAAAGCCTAAACAGGCTATTTAAAAGTACTAGAGAATGTGAGAAATTGAAATATCAACATAGAGGTCCTTGTTGATACTGATTGCTTAAAATTTCATCACTTCAGTGAAATTTTTAAACAGCCTTTGCTATCTCATTTCAATTAATTTTTAGTGGTCAAAATATAATTGTACAAGATATGCTAAATATGTTTTCTGTCAGTTCATCAGTTACCCAATGAAACAGTCTTTTGATATAACAATTCAAACAATGCATACATCTAAGTCCCTTTTAAACACAGCCCTATATCAATTATCTACATATTTTGTTTGACTTGAAGTTATAGTCATAAAACTTTTTGCAATTGTAATTATAGATACAATCGTGGTAAATTTTTCCATCTTGTTATTTTGAGGGTGAACGTAGTAGACCGAACTTAAACTCTTCTGAATGTTTCTTTTCCCACATTAAAATAAAACTTTATGAATGATAAGAATTTTAATGATATGTGCACATAACTAAATGTTTGATTTAGATGATTAATAAAAGCTTTCATATCTTTAAAAGATTTGAAATGTTAGGACTAATTGTCAAGTAGAATTTTTTGAGCTGGGTGCAGTGGCACACATCCCAGCACTCAAGAGGGTAAGGCAGGAGGATCACTGCAAGTTCAAGGCCATCCCGGGGTACTTGGTGAGTTCAAGGCCAGCCTGAACTACATAGCAAGACCCTATCTCAAAAACAAACAAAAAAGTTAAGTGGAATATTTTTCATGTGATCGATTTTTTGAACATATATATTTCAGAATAAAACTGTCTGCAAAAGCACCTTTTTCTCTAGAAGAGAAAATATTAATGAATCTTAACTGTGTGAAATTTGATTGGAATTTTATTATATGCCATATGACTATGTACAGTTTCATTATCAAAATATATTGTATATTTTATATTTGCCAGATTTCTTTTTCTATGATGGAAATGAGAGTTTATAGGTTTTTGAACAAATATGAAATTTAAGTACTAATTTGTCTTACTCTATAATGTGCAAATACATATAAAAGTCAATGCACAAAAAGTTTTTTAAAATTCTTAAATTTCTACAGCAAAAGTGCAGCTATATTACCTATGTGTATAAATATATAATATTATAAGAAGTTAAAATCTTTATAGTACAGTGAATTAATACATTGAGTTGTTTAGGCATTCATGATATAAGTATGTACATACACATGCACACATATGCAAAATACATAGATATTCTTACCCTTACATACATCAATTTATTCAACTGGAAAGTTTGGTTTTGTATTTATAGTTTTCTTCATTTAACATTACTTGAGTGTATTCTATAAGACATAGTTAAGAAATGTGCCCTGTTGATGTAAACTACTTCTTCTTATCATTATTGAGTAGAAAATAGAAGCCCTTCTGGTTTTCTGCCACAGGATGTGTCCATACAAATATATAACATTGTGAATTAATAGTTCTAATCACCTTGTGATGTCAGCTTCATTAGCATTCATATTGCAGGCCATATATAGAAGCCAGTCCATTTACAGATAGGCATAACCTTATTCCAATGCCATGAATTTATTAGAGCTGCTTCCAAGATAATTGTATTGTCAGTTAGTTTTTGATAGAGGGCTCACAGTAACAAAAAAGCATCAGGCAGTTTGTTCAGGAAGACCTTTCAGCTAGCTGAAAATAAAATTCTACCTGAATTTTATATTAATCTTGTTTATGTTATTTAAGCGGTAGCTAATTATATTTTGATAAAACAATACTATTATTTTACAAAATAAAAGAATAAATGACAGTGTAAATGAAAACCTCACCTTGTGATGGGTTAAATTGATAAAACAATTTGCTGATTCCACAAATCTGAGAATATTATTTATTATTGTTTACATATAAATCCCAGGAATATATTTATCTATATTTGAACATCTAAATACTCATACACAGACACAGAAATACAGATTTTACTGGACTAAGGCTCATTTTTTTAAAATTGACATTACTTTTATGAGCTTATCTGGATTTTATAAGATATAATGGGACTTAAAACAACTCAATTCTGTCACTTTAAGATTTTCTTTTTTTTTTTTTTGTTTTTCTCCGGTACCGGGAACCGAACTCACGACCTTGTGCTTGCAAGGCAGGCGCTTTTGCCGCTGAGCTAAATCCCCAGCCCCCACTTTAAGATTTTCATCTTAAAATTTAACATACATTTTTTCTAGTTAGTAATGATGTATGGCACTATTTAGAGTAACTGGTAAAAATTAAGAACTAGGGAGAAATATAACTGCCGATGCACAAAGAAAGAAACATTGCATTTATATTCATAGTCTTTTTATAAAAAACAAACTTTTCTAACAAGAAAATCCATAGATAATCAGTGAACATTTTATAACATAAAATTCATCCTAAACAAACCTAAATGTAATATTTCTTTCAAAATATCATTCATGTGCCCAATCATCAACAGCAGTAATGTGTAAGTAATAAGTTTTGAGGATCCTATAATAATGCTAATTTAAATAATTTAATATAATTTTATTAGAGAATTTTCTTTCAGATTCTATAGATGAAAAAAATAGACTTGCTACATCACAGACCCCTTTATTTTAACACAGAGTTTCAGTAAGTTGCCCAAGCTGGGCTCGAACTTGGATCTTCCTTCTTTAGCCCCAAGACTGGTGGGATGTTCGCACCACCACACCCAGATAAACCCCATTCTCAAGCTCCATATTTTATAAGGTTTCTCAGTCCTCTTGCCAAAAGAAACATTGCTGATGTGCAATAAAATTTTGATATCTCCATTTAAAATGAGTCCTGTGGCTATCTTCTTACTCTCAAATGAGATATATAGAGTTTGAATACTCTTATTTAAGTTTCCATTGCATTAATAACATGCTGTTTGAAATGGTACAATTCCAACTATATAGCATTACTTTAGTTCCTAAGACCACACCATTCTTTATGTAGATGGTGGCTTTTAAACACGTTTTCCTTTTCAAACAGCACGTATTTTTACCAAGAATTAATTGAGCAAACAAGCAGAAGAAAGCCATATGTTTAAGTCCACATTATTAGCATTACATCTAGTATCTTGAACACTAAAGTCAGTTTGTAACACTAAAACTCTTTTTGTGTGACATGGTACAGTGGAAAGCAGACTGGAACAGAAATTAGAAAATCTATGGAATATTTCTGTCATTTATTAGCATTGTGACATTAAGACAAGTCATTTAACCTCTCTGAGCCTTAGCTTATTTTTTTAAAATAGGGATAATAAACGTTCCCTTATAATTCTCAGAGAAAGTTTGGAAAGATTCACAGACGTATTGTATGGTAAAGATATTATTTTATACTCTCTGCTACTTTGCCTTGTGAGCACTTTCATCCACTCTTTTCCTTTACTCTATCTTTTCTATAGAGATGAAAAAGGAAACCTTCCTTGTGAAGACCTCAGAGGACATATGGTGGGCAAGCCAGTGCATAAGGGATCTGAATCACCAAATTCATTTCTGGATCAGGAATATCGAAAGAGGTTTAACATTGTTGAAGAAGATACTGTCTTATATTGCTATGAATATGAAAAAGGAAGATCAAGTAGTCAAGGAAGGCGTGAAAGCACACCAACTTATGGTGAGAGTTCTCTTACATTTACATGAATGTTTATGTCTGGCATGGAAATGTCAGTTTTCTATCATAAGCTTTTGAGTTGTAAAGATCATTTTATTGGTTTTGAATCTTTATACTTAATCTGCATCGGCAATGTGCTTCTAAATGGAATATCAATAATTTGACACATGATATAAAAATTATTTCAGATTTTTCAAAGACAAAAAAGATTTGGTAACATTCATAATAATAATAGCTTGTAATAGTTTATAAAAATCTTCTTAGCATCGCATATATTTCTTCTATGTTAGATATGTCCAAATTAAGTAATTCAAGGGTCTTTTTTAAATGAGCATTTACTGTTAGCATGAATTATTTGAAATAAAATTATCTCCTTAGTCCTCAGAGACTAAAAATATCTTTAGATAGTCTTTCATCATCTAACTGAAAATCTGTTTTTGTACTTTTTTAAGAAGCTGCAAAGTTAATCTGGCATTCCAGTAGAAGTGAATTTTAAATGAAATGCACATACTGTAGGTAAGGCAGTGCTAGCCCCATAGTTACCAAGTACTTAGGATTTCTTTCTATCTTTGACTTTATTTTTCCATTTATGACAAAGAAAGTAACCCTGTTCCAAAGGCATAAAATTTATATAGTGTACCAGTAATACTTGCAAATAAAATTGCCTAAAATTAAAAGTGGTAAAACCTTTACTCCTATTATAATAATGAATGGATATAGTTGGAAGTCTGTGTTCTTCCCTTTCCAGTTTTCAAATTAATCATTTATAGTGTGCAGTTTATAGTTTGGGGGGAAGACAAGATCCATGCTGATTAGTTCAAATTTAATCATTGGGAGCTGAGCAGAGTGAAAATTGTTTTGAACTCTTTCTACATTTCCCCCTCAGTTATTCACAACCATTTTTATTTTTATTCATTCCACATGCACATTTTGGCCACCTGTTATAAGATATGCATTAAAGTATATCAGCTCTCCTTTTTATATCCCAGAATTTTCTGGTTATTGTCTACTTATACTGAAGTATATAAATGTTTCATTTAAGGAAAATTGATAGTCATCAAATTGAAGTCATTGACTTCAGCTTAAAGTGCCTAGCACCATCATGTTCCACAACTTATATCTGCCCCAACAAAATGGGATACTGTTCAAATTTTTAAAAAATTTTGATAGCCAATAGATACTTGATATATTTTTATAACAATTGGGAGAAAAGAAATATGTACATACTGAAAAGGGGGAGAAAAAAGTAAACAAAGTTCTCTTTTAAAACTTTGGAACGTGAAATAAATATAATCTTAATACATCTATAGTTTCATTTATTCTAAGACTCCAATATAGGTACTTAAGTGGAAATTTCTAGGTATAACTTGAAGTTTGTTTCAAGTAACTAAAAGTTTATTACATTTACTTCTTCAAACTCAGGTCTTAAGTAACAAAACATAGCTGTCAGTTTCAGGAGCTTGTGATGATTTTCCCAAAGATTAATCCTTTTAACAACTGATCCAACTAGTATTCGTTGTATACGTAAAGACATCCAGGCACTGAGAACACAAAGGTGTATAAACCGTAAGTCCTACTGGTACTGCAGGCATAATCCAGAGGGAAGAAACATTTTAATAAATCTGCATTGCAGTCATCTCTTCAGATGAGTAGGAAGATGTGCACAAACTACTACCCAGCTGAGAAAATTAAACCCCATAATTTGGCTATGGGAAGTCAAATAAGTGAATATGATAATTATGTTAGCTTTTAAATGATGAATTGGCATCATCCACAATGTATAAGTGCTAGTAAATCCCCATCAAATACCTGATGACACCTTCTCAAAACCTGGGTCTGAAATCTGATGGCCTGTGTAAATCTCTCAGCCCAGACCCTAAAGGCCCCAATACGAATTACTTCAAACTTTCATATCAATAAAAAATGACAACTTCATTTACCTTGTAAATTGGTCCCTTATATAGATATCCATGTATAACAATAGTCTCTTGATTTGAAAGTAATAGTAATAAAAGTTTGTAATTGTCCTGAAATATATTACAAAAAAATCTAAAGTGCAGAAAAATTCAAATTTAATATTTCTACAAATGACAGTAATTTTTCAGCCCTGTAATATCTTAAAATGTAGTGAATAAGTCCTTATTTTTAGAGCATACAATTTAGTTCTTAGTAACAAATAGTGATATGTTCAATTATGCAAATTTAGCCACTACTGCCCTTCCGCTGACTTTCAAATTACTTGTTTACTTAAAGAAAGTTTGGAATTATGCGACTAGGTAGGACTTTTAAGAAGCAAAATGAGCTGGCATGGTGGCACATGCCTGTAATCCCAGCACTCAGGAGGAAGAGGCAGAAGGATCTCTGTGAGTTCAAGGCTACCTGGACTACAAAGTAAGTTCAAGGCCAGCCTGAACTCCATAGCACAACCCTGTGTCACAAAGACAAAAAACCACGAAGAAGCAAAAAGTGACAACAGTTTATAGTACAAGTATATGCTTTGTTTGAATATCTCTTAGTACCTTCATATTTTTGAGCCAAGCAGAGCTAGGATATTGTTATTTATGTTGTTTTATATTTCCTGGCAATATAATGACCATGTGTTTACATACTCATGGCCCTGACAGGTGTAAAGGAAGAAATGATAAACTGAGGTGTGACCTCAATGTGTTATATGACTAGCAATGTGTTCCATCCTTTGTAAATCAGACAACATAAAACTTGTTTTACTTTTCTAAAAAAATAGACAAAAATAATTCCTTGACACACACATACCAGTAGGGGAAACAACCTACATTAGTGGTTAGTACCATTCATTGTAGCATGCTTGGTAATCCTGTGTCACACTGGGGATGTTACTCTCGGCCTTGGTGCTTGAAATGTCAAAATAAGAAATGTCAATATGTTTTGAAAATTGTGTTAGCGCCCAGTACATTAGGTATTTATTTCCACTGTTGTCATTATTACATAAAAGCTTTAATGTGAAAATACAAGGTGGAAAAGTAGCATTAAATGACCTTAAATATTTTGTCTCATCTACTCAGGCCTCTAAGGCAAGGAGTGCTGCTGCTGAGAAACCATAGCCAACCTAAGAAGAATCAATTTATAAGTAAAGTGAATATAGAAGCAGATAATAGAAAATCAAAGTCAGAGACCTTATATGACACAATGATGACTGGCTTTTTTCTAATTCAAAGGATTAAAAATATAATTCACACTTGGCATATTCTCTCTGAAGCAGTATAAGGTTATGAGTGTCTGGGATTACCTACCCTGCCCTACAGTTAAATACCTAATCATAGCATCCTCTGGAAGAAGAGGTGACACATTTAACCCTAGTTCAAATCAGAATGCATTTTCCCTATGGAGAAAATATAATATTAGTCTGGATTTCAATCTAATAAATGAATGTGATGCTGGAACACTAAAGGGCGGTGGAGGGAAGGGGAAAATAATTACAGTTTGTCATGTACATGTACCAATTCCCTACAGTGAATAGAAACAATAATTTAATAACTCTCATCTGGGGTCACTGCTGCCCACCCAGAACACATTTTTGATGTCACAATCATGGTGGAGTCATGATGTAATCATCATGTACAGCAAACATGTACTAATAAAAGTAAAAAAATTAAAACAGTGCTGTATCAGGTTTTCAATCACAACATGGCTTAAGTAATGAAGCAGTTTCCTAAATATGTTCTTCAAATCACCAATTCTGAAAAAGAACATTAAAGTTATATGGTTAAATAAGATGAAGAAGCCCTGTGTATTTTATCTACCTTTTGGAGATTAATCAATATACACTAACCTACTAACAGTTTTTAAATACTTGATGAATTTGAATTAATTTAGTGTTTTCCAAATTATTTGTACATTGAAGCTTTTTCCTCCTTTGTTACATAATTCCCAGTTACTTTCCAATGAACTAACTTTTGATAGAATATGTTTTGGGAAATAGACTTTAGCAGTCCTCTTGAAGGCCCAAATACCAATGATAAAAATTTCTTTGCAGTGTAAGTTCCAAACAGCTGATGTACAGATAAGCATTTGGAAGAGCCTCTCTACACTTGGCTTCTTGAATGTTGCCTTCATTCTTCACTTTTATCTTGCAGAAAAGCCAGATGCAGACCATTTTCTAGAATTGAACTTATTTGTCATAGAAATCCAAAATAAAATGATAAAAACTAACTAGAAAGATAAGTGTTTCATGTCCTGTACTCAGGGATACTTGTTGAATTACCTGTATTTTCTGCAAAACTTGCCAGAAATAATGGAAGCAACTAGATCCCAGGGCATAGAAAATGTGGTGTTATATTCAATGTTGTTCAAGAAGAGATCACTAAAAAATTATACCCTGACTACTTAAATGACTAGAAACATTAGAGCAAAAATGTATATATGACAAACTAGCATTGTTTTATAATTAACATATCACGTTAAACCAATGTACTTCCCAGAGTTCCAAACACAAAACTGCATTGACAGTTCATGCTCTAATTATGCATTAGTCTTTCACGTGACTTTACGAATATTTTGAAAGAGTTGCAGACTGGATGGAGCACACTTAAAAAATACAGTAATTATAAATGTCATTAAATTATTTTTGAAGAAAAATTAGTTGGATTTTTTTTCATTCATTGTCTTGAATGATCATGAGCAATGTGATATAGTGAAAGGAACACTCGGATAGGAACTTGAAAGTGTGTGTTCATATACTGGTTCTAACTCTGATTATCTGTGAAATCCAAACATACTAAATTAATTTTGGTGTATCTTAAGTTTTTTACCTCTACTTTCTTACTAACATCATGAATGCAATTCCAATATGTGATAGGAATTATGTAAAATTATTTTAAAATGTCATTTTCAAATGAAACTCTTCAGCTGATGATCTTAGTAGTCTTCATGAGAAAGGATGTCTGTCTTCTGTATGTTGATAGGCTGTTCAAAGCACTGATTTACTAAGGTTTTTGCAAAGTGGATTGCTTTAGTTGGCAGTTAACATAAAAATTGCACACTTTCAACCAATTATTTGCATATCTGTGTCATCTCTCTTGTCCGTATCCATATTAATGGTGAGTGCAACAAGAGGCCAAGGTATTTTAGCATTCTTTATTTTATAACCTTCAGAACCTTCAGAGGAAAACCCAGAACTCTTTTGCCACTTAGTATTTCAGGCAACGAATCCTTCCTCATTTCTCACACACACCTCTAAGGTAGAGGAATCGTCTCTGAAGCAACAGCACTTCCAGTAAGAAAAGACTGCAAATTCCAGTGTGTGTAGCTTGTTCCTTCTCTTGGTAGGGTATTTAGAAAAGGCAGTTTGGTTCAAAGTGTGATTAAGCATGGAATCAGGTGTTAAAATGCCATACAATTTCTTGATATGATTCAGTATTTTCTTCTTCAATAATTTTCTTATTTTACCATCTCAAATATGGATTACATATAGAAATCAATAGGAAAATACAAGATGTGATCTATTCTTGGAAATGAGATTTTTTTTTACAAGTCAATTTTTTCAAGGTCTTTTATCCTAAAGGGAAATTTTTAAAATGTGGCACTGAAGATCAAAGTTCCCATGATTACTTATTTTATTGGATCCAGATATACATAATACTGTTATCCTTAAAAATTACTGACTTTATATTTAACTCAGTTCTACTTCCTCTTTAAATGTATGATTCTCTAACTTGAATAAACTCAAGATGTTTTCATAAAAATTCAGTAAACCATGTGAAAGTAATTTTTCTGCATGGTGTATGGAGTTTAATGGGTATATATGGCAAGCTGGTAGTTTAACTATTCCCTACTACACTCATTTTCATCAAAATACTGGCCAAAATATTCAGAACAGACATATACTTTCTCTCATACTCTAGAGAAAGCTTTTTGTGAACATTAAAAGATATGTCAGACTTACAGAGAATTTTAGCAGCTATGAGATGATCTCTTCTCAGGTACTATTTATTACTCAAATTTAATGATTTTAGCATTTTTTGAGAGAGTAGAAAGAGATACAGCTGAAAGAGGCAGAAATTCAGTGGTGTTTCAGTTGACATCATGGGTAGCTTAAGGTGAGAATGTTTCTAGAAAGGAAACCAGGAGACAGGTCTTCTACTTCTGATTTGATCCCCAAACTGTTCTGCAAGGCTGCTAGAAAAATAAAGATGAGCCAGGTGTGGTGGCTTACACCTCTAATCCCAGAGCTCAGGAGGATAAGGCAGGAGGATCGCCATCAGTTCAAGGCCAGCCTGAACTGCATACCCTATCTCAAAAAAGAAAAAAATGGAGATGATGGGTCAGGATTACCTACTGCCTTAGAAGGAAGGTGAAGGAATCTAAGAAAATAGGAAATGAGTGTGGCATGTGTCTTTTTTGGTCTAGTATATGAGGAAAGTCCCCTGTTTAATTTCATAACAGTTCATCATTGAGCAATTAGTGTGTTTAAGGCACTGTTCTGAGTGCTGGAGTTACTACACTAAACAGCAGAGGAGTATTACCTCGCTCTCAAAATTTACATTCAGAAAGAAATGGCAAAGATCAAGGAACTAATTTAATACTTTTCTAAAACTATAATTGGTATGCTATTGAAATGATCTTTGAAAGAAAATGAAAACAAATAAAGAAACCTAACGAAGAATAAGAGGTCAAGAAGCAGCTCCCTGAGGAAATGACAGTTTCTACTTAGCTCTGGAAGAAGTATGTGTGTGAATTTAGAAAGAAAAAAGAAAGAACAAGAGGAGCAGAGTGCTGGATGCAGGGAAGGCATTTCAAGGAGAGAGTAATCCTCAATGCCAATATGCTACAAATACATGAGAAAAGTCAAACAATTTGGAGAATTGTCTATTGAATTAGCAAGAACCTTAATGTTCTCCAAAAGTAATTTTTTTTTTTGTACGAGGAATCAAACTAAGGACCTGGAACTTGCCAAGCTGGTGCTATGCAGCTGAGCTATATCCCCAGCCAAAAGTAAATTTTAAAAAGGGCTTTTTATCTTAGGATTTTTTTCTATTTCAAAAAAAGTGTTTGGCAGTACTAGGGATTGAATCCAGGGCCTTAGCAGCCTTTTTTAGATTTTTTTTTCAGTACCTTAAATCGAACTCAGGACCTCACATTTGTCAGGCAGGCACTATGCCACTGAGCTAAATCCCTGGCCCCTTTCTTATATTTTTTTACATTGAGACTAGGTGTCACTAAGTTGTCCAGGCTGGGTGGGCTTAAACTTACCATTTACCTGCCTTAACCTCCGAGAGTGCTGAAATTAGATGTGTGTGCCACAGTGCCCAGCAATTTCAATTCTATTTGAGTAACATACTATATAGATATTATTTTGGTAGCATACTATGTAAATAACACTCAGTGTAATTGTGTTTTTTTAAATTACTCCCAGAAACAGATCTAATGCAAAGTTATTCTTTTGGCTAATGATACAGCCACACAAATCAAGGGCTTCATTACATGCTTCAGTGACTTCACTCCATTAGAACCTCAGAAATTGACCACAAGACAATAAATATAATTAGGTCTTTCATAATCTATGTGTAGAATGTTTCCTCTTCTTTTCCTATATATATATATTTGGCTTTAAAGAACCAATCCATTCTTTTAAAAGTATCAAACTAGTTTTTAAAAATATATACTGAAATGGAGTTTATTTTTAAACCACCATCTAAAATACAAATTGTTAGACATTTTGAAAATATAGCATTTATAATATTGAAAATCTGGAGAAATGATTCTGTAAGTGGAATAGACATGATAAAGAGACTTTTCCTCAGATCCTTACCCCATCCTTAGTGCGCAGACTATATTGACCTTTGTTATTTCACTGGAATTTGACCTCTGTGCAAAACAGCAGATACATATTTCATGAGACTTTTGTAATCCTTCTGTTTGTGGTTTGTTTGTTTGCTTGTTTGTTTGTTTGTTTTTTGAGATAGTCTCACTAAGTAGTCCAAGATAGCCTCAAATTTGAGATTTTCCTGTCAACCCTCTGAGTTGCTGGGAGTATAGATTTGGGCCACCATGCCTGGCTCAAAATTTTTAAAAGCTTTTGCTTTCCTTGTTTTCAGTACTGGGGGTTGAACCCAAGGCCTTCACACTGAGCTAACAGTCCTTCTTTGGTTTTCTTATTTTGAGTTACGGACTCACTAAGTCTCTAAGTTGCCCAGGCCGGGCTAGAATTTGTGACCCTCCTGCCTTAGCTTCCCAGAGTACAGGCATTACAAATGTGAACCACCACACCTAACTAGAATTTCAGGTTCTTAAGTGATCATTTATAAAGACATTTGCTCCCTTTGCTGAAGCCATTAAATAAATACTACAATTTGGACTCATTAAAAATTGATATGAAGTTCATCCTCAGACTTTAATGGAGCTTACCAATCATACTACATAAACTGTTTCCATCTAGATAATAAGAAGCCATAAGGTTGACACAGTTTCCTTAAAAACAGAATTAGAAGTCTAACAGAAATTTTAAATTAGTTTTGCCAAATACATAAAACATTTAACGTTTTTTAAATACTTGGAGTGGTTACGATAATTGATGATGAAGTTTGGCCGGGCAAATTTCAAGAGAGAAAGTGGACTGACTGTTAAAAGTGGTAATATTAATCTTAAAGATAGAGCAATTGTTGGGGTTGGAGTTTTGTGGAGAATGCCCAAGAAATACAGAAAGTGGTAGCTAGAAAGTGGGACATTTTGAGGGATTTTGCAGATGACAGGAATAAGTATATGTGAAGAAGAGTTATCCGACATCAGATGGTGACTATTGAAGTACGGAAGTGATGTTTGAGCACCTGGCTTTGAATCCTGGTACGAGGCTCTTACCAGCTATGTTTCCTTCATATATATAACTGAAAACTGTTTCTTCATCTGGTAAAATGAGGTCAATGATAGCACATTTTTCATACTTATGAGGATTAAATGACTTGAAATTTATAAAATTCTTGGATAGTGTATAGCGTACGGTAAATGATTGTAAATATTTGTGCCATTGCCATCATCATCACAATCATCATTTTTATGAAACAGTTCTGCATGAATCTCGGGTTTTCATTCATTCAGAATTTATAAAACAGCTATCTTATATCAGGCATTGTGCTAAGTATCCTTTTAAAACTTTTGAATAATTTTCATTGGCTGTTTTGTGCTTTAGGAATTTGAGGTTGAACAGAAATAATACAATGCAGCCCCACCAAAAAGTTATCTTTGAAGTCTTTGCCATTAGTTTTCTTTGATAAAGTAAACTGCTATTTAGAAAGAATGGAGACTCAGAAGGAAATGAGATGGGTCAAAGCAGTAATTACATAAATTTGTAAAGTAGATCTGTTCATTCCAGCAAGAGAGAGGCATGAGAGTAGACCCCGCTGTAGCCATGAAAGAGAATCTAGCCATATTGCTAAAGAATTGTAGTATCCAAAATTTATGGTGATAGGAATTAGGAAGTAGTAAGGATAACAAGTTAGCCTTGTGGTGCTTCAACGTGAAACAACGGGTTAATATCCTTGTAGTTAGGTTAAAAACAAGGGGCTACCATCTTAGAAGTTGGCGATGAAGACATAGACATTTGGGCATTAGATTATAAGACAAACAGTTACCAATAATGTACTAAAATTATGAAAATAATGATCTTCTGTGTAAGGGAACCTAATGGAGAAGTCTGGGACTCCTAAGAGAGCAACACCAGGTTATTTATTATTTATAAAAAGTACTTCAAGTTTGCATATAGCCACAGGCAGTTTCACCTTCTGGCTCAAAACACACATTTTCTTCATCTACACAAATGCCAACCGTAATGTTGCATATGAGTGAGTGTGTTTTGTACACTGTAGCTGACAAAATCAGTGTAAGTTTGAGCAGACATGGGGAAGAAAAACAATGTGATGTGAACTTTGTTCTCTGTGTTTAGGCAAGCTACGACCTATATCTATGCCAGTGGAATATAATTGGGTGGGGGACTATGAAGATCCAAATAAGATGAAGAGAGATAGTAGAAGAGGTAAGTGTTCTAGAATTTCAGTGTAGGCTGGGTTGATTGAACAATAAACAAATTTTAATGTTCTTTCAATAGATTGTTATGGCATCAGTGGAAAATTTGTACTATCTTTGACTTAGCTTTCAACGAAACAAAGTCAGACCAACGGTTGACTATCTTGACCCATTATTAAGCAGAACATCTATGAATTTGTTCTAGTGATTCAAGGTAGATAGTACAATGTGAAAAATGAATAACTGTTATTTGAAAGTTAGAATTTTGAAAACAAAGTCAGAAGCGTGAAACTGCATAGAGGAGTTAAGTTCAGAGAATAAAAACCTAAAATACCTTATTATCTAACGTAAAATTTAGTACTGCATTTCAGTCCACATTGGTCCACAATGTAACCTCTCACTTTTGTAGGAAATACAACCTCAAAACGAGCATTGAAACACATGATTATTTAAAAAAGCGCTAATGCAAACTGAGCCAGTGACTCTAATGAATACCATATTGAAATGGGGGGAAATACTTTGGTTTGTTTTCTGTTCTGTTTGCTGTTCGAGGTCTTCTTACGTAGGGGTGTGGGGTACGCTTTAAATATCTATCAAAAGTAAGTTTTATGTTCACTTATCATGCTATGGAGGTGAGCAGTAAATAAAGCAACTGAAAGTCTCACTAGATAAATAAGGTGTACCAAGGGTGGAGAGGAAGTAGTGGGCCGAGTTGGTCAGGCTGCAGCTACTTCCATTTTCTCAAGTAGAGCGATAAGATCATGATGGAAAACAAAACAAAACAAAAACTGTTCATGGAACCTAAGCTCACTAAGCTTCCCACACGGTATGTTTAACCTGTTTGCCTATTATTTCTACCCAGTGTACATGATTTATTTCATTACTGCACAAATCCGTAAACTACATGGACAAAAAAGCATGAATATCTGCTTTAATTTTCTTAACACTTGTTTTATTGTGTGAACATTTCCGAAAATGTTGGCAATCCAGAAACATTGACAGATTCCTTTACATCTTTGTATTCATTCCATTTCCCAAGCTTTAGTTTCTAATCTCATTTGTTTATAGAATATAAATAATTCAAGAAAAAAAGAGAAGTGCTTGTCATGTGCCATCTCTGAGTCATTCTTCTGATACTTGATATTGTACAGATACCTGTCGGGGTGCTATATGAAGGACTAAGCGATTACTATTCGTTCAAGTGTAGATTTTATGAGCTAAATTTCCTAACTGTTGGTTCATAATGTGGGCTTTAACTTCTTCAAGGATCCTACCTAGCGTGCCATAGGCCACTGTTTGTCATCAAACTTTAAAAGAATCCTCCTTTGGTGCTTGTTGAAAATTTAAGGGTCAGACACCAAAACTTCTGGTTCAGGTTCCACAGGTGGCTCTGATCTAGTTAGTCCAAAGATGAAACCAGAAGAAATAACCTGTCAGCGATTTCTTATTGTCCTATGATCCCCAAATAATTAGTACTATATAGTTCACTATATATGTATATATATTTTAAGTTAAATCAGATTAAAGTTCTCAAACAAAAGTTTATAGCACTGTTATAAAAGAATGATAAATTTAATGTATTTCTACATTTATATTGGTGTATCTATCTTTTTTACATAGAAAACTCTCTACTTCGATATATGAGTAATGAAAAAATTGCTCAAGAAGAGTACATGTTTCAGAGAAACAGCAAAAAAGACACAGGGAAGAAGTCAAAAAAGAAGGGTGACAAGAGTAATAGCCCAACTCACTATTCCTTGCTGCCTAGTCTGCAAATGGATGCATTAAGACAAGAGATCATGGGCACACCTGTGCCGGAGACCACACTATACCATGTAAGTAAAAAACTTTTAAACTCTTTGATACAGCTTTTATGGGGAGACAATGACTGTCTTAGGTAAATTCCCGGTCATTTTTATCCTACTGCCATATTTTCACAAAAGATCGTAACTTTAGAGTATATACCCTTACAATGATGGATTGTTGGTTTGTCCTTAAGTTCATAAGTTCAGTAAGTTCATATGTTGTAGCAAGTTGGATTTGTAATGAGATAATATGCATAAAAAGATGGAGAACTACAAATAATAAGCACATTAACGATCTACATGATAATACACAGTGCATGATTAGCTATAAATTCAACATTAAAGAAAGAATGTTTAATGCATTCACATTTACATTTAAAAATGAGTAACCACTGTGTGCTAGGTATGGACGTGGCATTAAAGGTAAAAATGGGAAGACAAACATACCATTGTGTGGGGAGGATGGTATGCTGAGAATACCAGTATAAACTAATTGCTGTAATGGGTTGGTACCAAAAGTGTAGAAGTGACATAGGAAAAGGAGGACCTTGCCCTTCAGGGGAAATGAGAACAGACATCAAAACTGGAGTACTTGAGGAAGGACTGAAAGATGAGTAGCAGTATTTTAGTGGGAAGGTATATGGAGGTGTGCTATAACTGCATAAGAATATAACATGTTCCAGGGAGTTCATGTGGCTCAAAATTGCTGGTTCATTACAAATTGAGGGAAATTGTGTGAGGAAAGGATAGCAGACATAGGAAGGCTGGAGACATAGGCAGAGAATGTTGTGATAGAATATTTAGACTTTTCCTGCAGTAATGAAGAGTCATTGAAGAATTTTGAGATAGGGACTTACATGATTAGATTGGCCAGTTGGCTCTCTCTAGTGCAGAGAGAATCAACTAAAAGGTCAGAGGCAAAGCCATTAACTTCAGCCCAGAATGAGCATGACAAAGTAGGACAATGGCCATGTGAAAGCTGAGGCTCTTGTTAGCCAGAACATTCACTTCAAAAATCAACCCGTATCATGTACAGGTACAAATTCCCTATGATGAATATGATCATTATGTATGTCTAAATTGTACCAATATACTTAATTTAAAATCAACCCTTATTAGGCTATTTTGGTTAAAGGGAGTTTGTTGTACTAATAGAATTGTAGCTTCTAGTTGGGAGCTTAGAAAACAGATTACATGTTTTTAAGTAGAAATTTTTTTAAAACTGCACTTAATGCTTAAATTATCAAAAAATTAATCTACTATTTTGAAGTTGTACCATCTAGGTATACAAGATGTTCAAGATTTAATAACTTGAGTTCTTTCTCTGAGTAAATGTCTTAAATATTCTTACTTATTGTATAGCTCTGTCATAAAACTAGAGAAGGATTTCTTTGCTTCAGTTGGGATAGAGTATCATTATTCTCTCCCTCCTTGCCCGTTCTCCTATAACATACCTCCAGGCCTCTTCTGCTCTGAGAGACAAATGCCCCTAACAACACCTGCTCCACTAAATGACCAACAAGGCAAATTATTATTTTTTCCACTGAAATTTGAAGTGAATCTGAATTCAGTACTCTTCAAGTCAGCTGAAGGGGGGCATTGTTGTTAGTATCACTAATCACAAAAAGCTTTCTGAGCTTCCTCCAGAACCTGGTGTTCCAGTAGTACTAGCACTAGTCTGAACAAAGCCTGAAAATGAGGGAAAGCTAGTTTTTTCAAAAGGGAATTTAATAGTGAAAGATGAGGCTCAATAGGGAACAAGAGGCTACTTGAATTCAGATTGTACCATCTATTAAAGTTTGGATTTATCTTAAGAAGACTTGTGAGCGCATTAAAATGTTCAGGCTGTTTCATTCTGTGCAATGCATATCCAAACAAACATATACAGCACTGTGTGGGGAAGGAAAATAGACAGAGTCTCACAGATATTGATTATTACATTAAGACTAGAAAAAGTGAGTGACCTGATAATCAATAATATTACGAGCATTGTCTAGGACCATGAATTGTTACCACCTTTCCAAAAGGTATTATTTAGCAAGGTATATCAATAACTTGGTCTACTAATTTTACTTCTAAAAGTTTATTTTAATAAAGAAATGAGAAGGTCCACTTCTGTCTCCTACTTATATTAGGTATCTGAAATCTATAACATGGTATTTTTCAGGTAGATGATACCTTTCCCAGCTAATTTGTGATGGGAGTGGGCAGGTCAGCAGCAAGTAAGGAATACTGTTAACCTGAGAGGCATAATCTCCCTTGTAACATTGATCAACCAGTTTCAGAGTAGAAGGCTAGGTATTTCCTCTGTTCTCAGGTTTAGAAGAAGTAGATTAACTGTTAGCCACCAAATACATAGTGGATGACTGTAACCACTGCACAAAAAGACAAGACTTTCATCAGAGTTTTATAGGACTCTTTTAAGTACCCTTGAGGACCTCAACCTGTCGCATTGTCACATATTTAGTACTTGCACAATCATCAAGGCAGTTTCAAAATTTGTTACATCTTTTGAACCATAACAAAACCCATCCTATTTCTAAATAAAAAAGCTCAAACTCTGAAAGGTTAAATGACTTACCAAAACCTGTGCTGTGAAAACGTGTAACTGCTGTTGTTAGGATTAGAACCAAAATCACCCACCCCAGGTCCTTTGACTCTCTAGCCTGGGGCTTTGTGCATGGTAGGCACAGGTACAGGGTAGGTACAGGGGAGTTTTTACTTTTCATGAGTCAGTTTTGAAAAGATATGTGAAGAAACACGTGCCCTCATACATTGTTGTTAATAACATATTAAGTACCTAGATTGATTTATACTCAGATTTCTCTTTGGCTATATATTAATGTTTCTTAAGTTAAGCCACACATATAGAGCTGCTGCTGTTATACAATACAAGTTAGTTATTCAACATAATCTATTGCTTGGACTATAGAATATTATAGTTAAATTGCTAGAGCCTTGGAGGCAAAGCAACATACACAAAATAAATTGTTTTTTATATGGCACAGGAAATGTTGGTTTTTATCTGTTTATAAAACTTATTTTAAAAGTTAATCTGTTTATAAAACTTATTAAAAAATGAAAAATGTGTATTTTCCTGATAAGACACAATCATCAATTGTAATCCAATCAACTTTATTATGAACCACTAATCCTCATTTTGCTAATTCTTGTTTTGGATAAAACAGCCCTTTTTAATAGAACAGAATTTAAGTGGAAAAGGATTATGGCGATTGAGTATTGAGTTCATAGGTTGCTATCTGCTTTAATACTAGCTCCATGTAGTCTAAAGATTTTGAGTTCCAATATAGAGAAAGTTTATTATAAATTTCTTAGCAAGATCATAGCAGCATTAGATATCCTTAGAACCACTTACTTATGGTGTGTGTGTGTGTGTGTGTGTGTGTGTGTGAGCGATTCCTTCTGAGTATACCTACATTGTAATTCCCACTGGTCTGTTTTAGAAAGCAACCCAGTTTTAAAAAAATACAAAGCAAAGCAAATATTGTTGAGCTTAAGTGTTTGACTCATTTTTCCTAGTAATTATTTCAGAAACGTTTATATGATAATGAGTTAGAGTGTATGGTATTATAAAATACAAATTTTTAAAATTTATTCCACACATTTGTTATTATACTTGTTTTTCCTAAATTTATTTACAAGGAAAGCATTCATCGTACTCTAGCTATATGATTGTCCCAATAGTTCTTGACCACTTCTTCCCCTTTCTAGATGTTTTTCTCTCCGTAGAGAATGCTTCCATACGTTCTTTCCACTGGCTGTCCAACCCTAAAACCCCAGGAGGACTTTCCTGACCACTCTCCTCAGAGCTAAATCACTCTCTCCTATTCCATTTTCTTAGCACCCAGTACATTTTCCAAACCTCTGTTGTGATTTGCAAGTATGTATTTGTCTATTTGAATATATCACCTTGGTATTTCTCTCTCATATACATGGCAAGTCAGGTCCATATCCATCAGTGGCAGAGACAGTGTCTCCATTTTGTTAAGCACCTGGTATAAATATAATGTCTAGAAGTTCTCAATAAAAATGTGATGAATAAATGAATTCATGAGTAACTGCATGTGGATAGGAACTTTTCATGCCTCCCTCATGGTCTTGAGCCTACAAAGAGAGCCTTCCTAAGTGTCCTGGACCAGTCTCACAAGGGCCAGCCATATTGGGAGTTTAGCCCCTTCCCCACAGATCCCAGAACATGTCCTTCATTCCAGTTCAGAGCTTCAGTTCCAGCTAGTCCTTGCTTTCTTCCTTCCCTGTCTCACTACAGAGGCCTTCATATGCCCACCAGCCATACATGATGTCTTAGTTACTTTTCTCTCATTGCTGAGACAAAATACCTGACACCCAAGGTTAAAGGGAGAAAGGTTTATTTATCTCACAGTCTGTGGAGGTTGCAGTCCATAGTCAGCTTGCTCTAAGCCAGGGTGGGTTCACAGAAGGGCAACAGTTTGTGGCAGTGGAAGGCAGCAAAAGCAACCAGCGAGGAAGAGGGAGAGAGCCTCTTCCCCTCCCTTATACTGTATGCAGGCTATGTACCCTGAGGGCGGGGGTAGCATTCACACCCAATCCCAGCACTAAACCATGGAGCAATCACGAAGTGTAGATTCAGCCACCTCTGAAAAGCCCACCCCCCATGATCTCATGAGGTTTGGGGGGTACCTTCAGACACAAATCATAACACATGTTATAACATATTGGAGACACTTTCCATGGTTGTCAAGAACCTTTACAGTGAGTCCCCAGTCCCCTGCCCAGAGTTAAGGCGCACAGAGGAAAGAAAGAGCAAGAGACAAAATAGGTGTGCAGCAGGGATCTGGGATGACCAGTAGTTCACAGGAAACATAAGGCCACAAAGCATTCAGAACCTTGCTATTTATTGATTACATCTGAGTCAAGGACAATGCGTGAAGGGTAGTGAGTGCTTGCAGGAACAGTAATGGCGACTGTGGTGGGCCAGTAAGCATTCTTGCAAGGATAAGGATGAGACAGGGAGGCAATGAGGAAACTGC